TTCTGCCTCAGTGCAGAAAGAGAAAATAGATCAATCTGTGTTTGCCTCTCTCAGATGAGAGGCTAAAAATGAAATTGACATAATTGACTTTAGAGAGCTGAGAAATGAGGGCAATGATTCAACCTGGCTTTCATTTTACTTTTGTATTGAACGAAATGGAATTTGTGCTTTAGTCTTTCATTGAGGAGCTATTAGTGGTTCAGCTAGCACTCAGTCAAAACCCTGACAAACTCTTTGTCTTTAACTCTGTGCTGATGAAGCTTTTAATCGACACTGATTAGTCTCAATAATAGAATGTAAATCTGATTTTAATTTATTTCCTGTTTCTCTTAATTGCAGTAAATAGTACTGGTTTGTAGAAGTAGTAAAGCCATTAGTGGATAATAAACTAGAAGCAGGCATTTGATTTTGTAATGAGTCAGTAAAACATCCATTTGTTTGATATCAGAAGTCCAACAAATATTCCTTGCTCTAAATTCCTCATATGTTGACAGCTCTGCTTTCGGGCTCTGGTCTCGTCTGATCAATAAATCTGAAAGGTACTATGAAACAAGGATTGATCAGGTGTCACATCACACCTCCACCCTCTTTGAAGCGTCTTAGATAATAGATAAAACATTAATCTCCTCAGGTTATCACTTGTTCACCTTGCGGTGTTTTTTCTAATCAGTTTTTCCTATTAAATATGAAGCAGTTTCAGTCTGTATGAAAGTCTGGGAAGTCTTTTTTTTTTGGTATCTTGCTTCATTTGTTTTTCATTGATAAAAAGTTGAGCACAAACTAATTTGCAATATTAAAAAACTTTGCAGACGAATATTTACAACATAAATCTGTTGATTTTTTACAGATTACCAAATGACAATATATGTCATCTTAAGGCTCTGTGTAAACAGATTCAGATTATAGGCAGTTGCATAGAATTCAATTATGGTTCCAATTCCGTTCATACTAAAATGATTCAAGTATGTAGAGTAACGAGCTGTTAAATCACCATGCTATTTAACTTTATGCCAAAACTATATATCATGACATGTTTTTTCGGTAACGTGAAATAGTGCCTATATTTATTTGATGGTATGGTCCCCTGCAGGCCCAATAAACAAGCATTGGATGGAAGACACTATGGCAAATATGTACAGACTGCTTAAAAAAATCACTACACTTATTTATTTATTTTTTATTAGAATGTTATATCTTGGAGTGTTGTATCTCTTACATGATTATTCTGAACCACAAATTTACAAAGAAATTCAGTATCTATGAAAGGTCCCATCGACTGTAATTTGACAAACTCTTGAGTTTTGTGGTGAGTTGATGACCTACATACCGTATATTAGGTGATATATGTAGATATATAGTAGTAATTCACTTTTCACCTTTGAATTTTAAAAAAAGCACTAAGAATCGACAGATTAAAACATTTTAATAAACTATGGGATTTGGATGACAAAAGTAAAATCCGTCACAATGTATGAAACTCGGCTTGCCGAGATCAAATTTGAGGACTAAATATAAAAGTTTGAGGACTAAATATAGCTATCTCTAACTTAGCAGCTAAAGTGTGATGTTATGTTTGAACAAACATGGTATCTTGTGCTCATTAAGACTTTCTCACAACTCGCAACATTCACATTAATTCTTTATTTCATCCTGTAGAAGAGCTGCAGTAATGTTTGTACAGGTCTTTGATTAGGCCACGGTTTTGCAGAATGGATTTTGCCGTCTTCCCTGTTTCAAGACATTTTAAGACGTCCATCTTCCTCCAGTAAATTGCCTCACTCTGTTTGGAGAGCTCTAAAGAAGCGAGATGTTTCTTTGGACAATGCAGGAAGGTTTTTCTAGCATGGTCTTTGAAAAGACCATGGACCCTTTCTATCCAGAAAGGGTCCACTATCCCTTTCTGGATAGTGGACCCTCAAAGCTCAGTTCCCTCTAACTACCCACTCCTTTAATATTTAAGATTCACGTTAATTCATGGCATATGCTTATCAGACACAAACACAAATTCTTGTTGTCATAAGCAACTCACTCACCTCTGCAAGTTTTCACATGTGAAAATGGAACTAAAAATATCTCCAGCAACTGTGTGTAATAGAGGCATTTCAATACTGCTAGATGAGACCGCTTGTAATTTAATGAAGCAAAATATTTTATGAAACACAAAATTCAGAAAAACGTTGACCCTATTAATAAATGAAAAGGCAGCCACCTTTTGTCAAACACATTTTTCAATAACAGCTCCATTTTTATATGGAATTAGCCCACCATTTACTGCTTTAACAGCTTAATCTCTTCTGGGAAGGACAAAGGGGTGGGAGTGTGTTTATGGGAATTTCTGGCCATTCTTTCAGGAGAGCTTTTGTGAGGTCAAGCACTGATTATTGGATGAAAATCCCTGCAGTCTCCTCTTTATTTCATCCCTAAGGTGTTCTCCTCGGTTGAGGTCAGGCCAGTCAAGTTCTTCCACACCAAACCCTTCCCTTTGAGAGCCTTTTAAAGTTTATCTTTTGAATTTGATTGGTTTTCCTCTCTTTTTTTTCTGTCAATTATTGACCCTGAGGAGTCGATGCAATACTGTATGCTGACTAAAGTCTCTGGGAATCAACTTATTAGCACTAAAAGTTGTTATCCCTGGTTACTTGTAATAAAGTCTTGAAGAGTAAATTTGGCTTTGACTTTCTTAGGCTGACTTTTTGTCTGCAGACGCAACTAATTCATCCTTTCGGTTTCTGGTTATTTAAGTGATTTGAGTCAGATTTTCCTACAAAAGCAGCAGTTGTTTGAGAATGACTAAATGAAGGACTGGAATAAATAAACATTGTGAGAAAGTCCAAAGAAAATAAATGGCACTATACATGGTTTTCATTTTGCAAAGATATGAATTCTTGGGAGCCACCTATCAGTTGCACAGATTTAAGATGCTGAGCAATCATCCAACAGAAACAGTTTTTGTGTATGAGAAATATCCATATAATTTGCATTGACCATGAATTTGATTGGTTTTCCTCTCTTTTTTTCTGTCAATTATTGACCCTGAGGAGTCGATGCAATACTGTATGCTGACTAAAGTCTCTGGGAATCAACTTATTAGCACTAAAATTGCTAATAAGCACAATTTAGGCCCAGATTAGCCTAAATTATATTTACTTTTTTAAATGAATGTAAGAAACAGATTATAGTTATTAAAATAATTTATGTAATTTCAGAAGGTTGTTGTCTCAATCTTTTAAGATTTAAATCTCAAAAGATTTAAAATTAAGATTTTAAATCTTAGGTTTTTTTTAAGATTTAAATTCTGGCAAAACTCCTAAAGTAAGTTATGCATTTGATCCTGTTTGGCTGCTATTTTTCATATAGTGTGCCTCAATGCAGTGGTTCTTCCACACTTTGTTCCCGTGAATGTCAGGCTGGAATCTGAGTCTTGCTGATCATGGCGAAACCCTTTCAGCACCATGTCAGACCATGTCACAAAGCTCATATTATTTGCTCCAAGGCACATTTTCTGTCACAAAATTCTAGTCAAATAAACATGTTTTTGAAGGAATGTAAAGCCAGATTCAGACTCAGCAGCCTATGGGTGTAGGTTTTTCTCAGTAAACAAAGAGGATTAGAAGTCAAGTTGTTGTTATTTGGAGAAAGTTGTTGTTCTGAATTAAACAGTATTTGTGTTTCTATAACTGAGTGATGTGAACAGGATCGGTGAGTCGATGCAAATGTTCAGAAAATCTTTTGTTTTTCTTTCTCTTTTGTGAAAAATGTAGCTTTCTTTCAAATTCAAAAAGATAATTACTTCAAAAACATGTAAACACTACCCGGTATTATCATGAATTCCTGCAGTGAAATTGTCTTATTGATTAGACTCAAATTATTTCTTATTTTCTGCAACCACATATTTTTGATCAAAGTTTTCATTCTTGCCATAATGTTGTGTTTTACCCACTGGATTAACAAAACAGCAAAACAAATAGAAAACATTCAGTCTTTGACATTTTACCACTTTGGGTACTTAATTCAGAGAAGTGGCCCTTTTTTCACCTGACATGTCATGGTCTCATGTTTTTAGTTTTTTCATCAGTCATGCTGACATGTAAAATTAATTTCTGTAATCTTCATCTTGTGTCAGTGAGAGGTCTCTGAGAAGGGAATGGGACTGAAACAACAAACCTGTAAGGCACAGAATGTCATTCAAACAAAAATAACCATAACTAACTAAAGTGGTTGAGCATCTGAAACAATGTCACTCTGAAAATTAAGTTCTTTGAAAATATATGTGAACACAAGGGTTATGCTATTTTCTGAATAAAGAAATTGAGATATTTTCCCCTTAATAAAAGAAGATGTCACATTGCTGTGTAATAATGTAATTGGTACAGGTTCATATTAATACATCAGAAACTGACAAAAAAATCAAATATCTTTCAGTAATCGAATATAAAAATTAAAAATAATACTCTACAGATTCATTTTTTCAATCTTTGCAACTTTCAAGGTTTCTGAAAAACTGAATTCTGAGTTTTTATCAGCAGCAAGCCATAAACATGCAAATGAACAGCAGCAAGTGCTTGAAATATGTTGCTCTTTGATTGAATTACTGAAATAAATAAAAAAATATTTTAACATTCTATCAGTGACATTGATTTGGCAACACATTCAGATGATTTTTTTTGTTTTGAAATCTCATAAAACATGTTTGTAGGAACAGAATAAACTTTACTCAATGGAATTTAATTTTTTTATCAAAAAAATTTAAAAAAACATTAACGTCCTTTTCATATGCAAACTGTTCTAATTCACTCAGCCATTGAAACAAATAGAAAATGAGATCAGCAATCTCATTTCAGCTGCAACAGGCCTCAGGTTCTCTTTTCAGCAGTTTTGCAGTGTCTCCAACAGATTCCTGACATGCATCTTCGTAGGACATTAAAAGAATGAGTGTGCTTGTTTCGCATCCTGTCAAATGCCATGAATGCTTCAGTGTTACTCTCTGTATTTTTTTTTAGGTGGCTGTGACAGGGGCACACCCGGGGCAGGACCCATGAAGAGTCATAGAAGATGCTCACAGCCTGGGCGCTTCTGCTCTTCTTAGCCATGTGGGTGAGAAGCACCTCTGGTGGCCCGCTCTCCTTCAGAATAGGTAAGCTGCAAAACAAAATAGTAGTTATTTATTTCCTAGCATTAGTCGTCAGGGATTTTATGTGAAAGACGCCAACTAGGACATAAATTGTAAAGCGGAAGACAACACAAATGTGGTTCTCAAATGTTTTTACAAATATAAATCTTAAAAAGTGGTTTGAATTTGTGTTCTTGCCAGTGTATCAATATTTTATAGACTTGCATTTTGCTCCAATTGCAGCTGTGACTCCTTTGGGTTTTTTGTCTCTGCCAGCTTAGGACATATCGATTCTGAAATTTCTTTATTTTTCTTTGCAACATAGCCAAAGTTCAGTCAGACTGGATGGACGGTGTATGTCAGCTAGACCAGTTACAATAACATATTTTTTTCCTAAACTATAAATTGTCAGAAATGATCAGTAACGCTGTTATTTCGAGACTATTTGACGTCATATGTTGATAAAGGCATGAAAATAAGACTGATGAACCATAATTTTATCCAACATTTTATATATCCGAAATAAAAACACAAACACCAAAAATAATAAATAAAACAGCAATAAAAAACACACATAACCACAGTCATTAATAACATGGATTATGAAGTCTGTGGAAACAAAGTTGCCCTTCATAAATTATTAATCGTCAGAATGGAAACTATAGGTCTCATTTTAATTTATTCTGCAGTAAATTGATTAATTACTTATCGCTTAATGTCAACATACATTTTTAAGTCTTGTCACTGATTCTGAACTTAATTTATGTCTTTACCTCGACTGGTTCATTCTGATAGATGTTTTAATCTAAGCCATTTCATTGTAGTGCAGGCTGCGTGTTTATGGTTGCAGATTTTCCTCCAGTATTGGTGTATCGGTGTGTTTTTAGCCCCGCCTATCCTTCGCAACAACTTGGGCCAGCTTCCCACTTCCTGCTGCAGATAATGCATCCCCACAGCATGATGCTGCAGCCACCATGGATTTGAATTTCCAGAGATATTGTTTTGTTTGGTTTTGCTTTGTATATCGATGTTGGCTAGAGAACCTTCCTCCAAACGTTTGCTTTCATACAGATAGCTTGAGGTGCAAGGATTTTTCACCACTTTGTTTTAGTAAGAAGGAAGTTTCTTCTTGCCACTCATCCATAAAAGCCAGATTTGTGGAACGGATGATTAAAAGTTTCCCAGTCAAATTGCCTGAGCTGTTGATTATGGATTTTGATAGGTGGTATTACAGTTAGAAGCTGAATACAAATGAATGCCAACCTTTTAGAATTTTTTTTATATAATAAAAATGATAGCATTGATCTTTTCTTTTCATTTTCCATTTATGGACTACTTTGTTACTCTGTCACCTAAAATCCCAATAAAATACCTTATTTGTGTTTCCACCATGAAAAAAAAGTCGGCTGCAAGGTGAATGAATATTTTTGCAAGAGCATTTTAAGAAGACTAATTAGGCATGTGACCAGCAAAAACTCTCCCTTAATGGATAAATGACTAAGCAGCAAACAGAGTTGTTGATGACATTATAGAATAAACTTTAAGACTTCTTTCAAAGCGTCTGTCTCATACACCTCGCAAGACATTAGCTGTCTCATTGTGAAAGGAAAAACAACTCAAAAGAAAATATCTCAAAATCCACATGGGATACCCGTACTTCTGTATTTTGCTCAAAACATGTTGAAGAAATTTCATGAAGACGTCAGAAAAGTGTGTCAAAGTGAGATTTCTGTGACATGCTCTTCCTCTCCGAATCTGAACCGCTTCACTTAATGAGATATATTTTCAAAGCTTGGGAGCCAAAACAAACTTTTCAGTTTGAGGAAACTTCAGACGTTGACTATATAGTCTTTAGCACAAAATATTGGTGTTTTATGAAGCAGATATCGCCTTTAAGTTTAATTTTGAATGTTTAATGCAGTGGTGTTAAGTCTACAGAAACATTTTTGTTTCCTGGAAACCACAATCTCTTTTTTTTTTATTATTTTTATTTTATATTCTTCTAAAATATTCAGAGCAATGTAAATGTGACACCTTGTAAAAACTAAAACTGGTCACCATTTTCTTGGTTTAACAGTGTCCAGTCATTCTTTGGATATTTTTCAGTCAATCATGCAGGGGTATCATAATATATAAGAATATAATCAATATACATTTGTTTCCAGTCATATTTAACTAAAAATATTATGTTGTAGGACATCTTGTGGTCTACATAATCATCCTGCAGTGTACTGACTTGACAGCTGCTCAGCAGACAGTCAAGGGCATCCAGTTATTTTCTTGCATAAAGCCACATTGGGTCCAGAGACACGCTTGAATATTTCATACTTGAGCTATGAAGAAAAAGTACTAGACTGTTGCTCTGTGGCCCAAAGAGATCTCGTCAGATAAAAGTACATTTTGCAATTCATTCATTAGTTAAGGTCCAAAAATCTAAAGGAAATGTGGAAAGACACAGAACCAGAGTTGCATTCAGTGTAAAGTTTCATGAGTCAGTAATGATTTAGGGAGCACTGTCATCTCGTGGTCCAACATCTCTTCAAGTCCAGAGTAAACTCTGCTGTCCATCAAAAAATATTTGAGCATACTTCCCTTGCTGACCAGCTTTGTGGAGAAGCTGATTTCATTTTCTAGCTGTTCTTGCCATCTGCTTACGAAAGTACAATATCTGCTTTTGTCACCGTCATTGTGTTTGATCGGTCGGCAAACTGGCCTGACCTAAACCCCACAGAAGATCAATGTGGTATTGTTAAGAGGGAGATGGGAGGCACCAGGGCCAACGGTGCAGATAAGCTGAAGCCCTCTATTAAAGCAACCAGAGCTGTTTACTGAGATGGAACTGTATTTGCACTTGACCGTGTATAAATTGGTTTAGGTAATGCATAATTTTCAGAACTGGGCCATATATAGAGAACAAACATCTGATACAATATGACTAAGACTTCATCTGCAAAAAGCTTCAGCGAGTGTTCATTTATGTTTCTATTTGGCTTTAGTGGAAAGATATGTGCATTGCCTATAGAAAGAGTAATGGAAAGATTAAGATACATTTTCAGAATAAGCTTCATTCTGTAGAGAGCAGAGTTTGCCTTGTAGATTCAACCTATAAGAACAGTTCAGGAAAAACCCAAAGTCACACACAAAAACAAAATATTACAAGATGATTATAACTCCCTTAATCAAGAAGATAAAAGGAGTTATAACCTATACTTTACAGAATTACTGACTGAATCCAAAAATGTCCATTTTGAGATTTATCCTCTTCCTGATATCTTAATCAATTTTATTTAATCAAATAAACAAAATCTTCCTATGATGACATATAAATATGCACAAGCCAGGAAGTTTAAGCCTGAACACAAGCAGGTCTCCAAATGGACAATGCAAGACATACACTCCTGATCAAAATCTTAAGACCAGTCAAAAAATTGCAAGAATTTGCATTTTGCACTATTGAATCTTAAGAAGATTCTAAGTAGAGCTTCACAATGTTAAAAGAAAATATTAGTGCAAGAGACAAAAACATTTGAGCGGGGAATTTTCTGAAAACTGCATTTACACTCAAACATAATTTTTTCAGCTGATCAAAAGTTTAAGACCATAGTCTTTAAAAGCCAAAAGCTGTGCAAAAATCTGGATTCCATGTCATGTTCTATGAAGTCTTTACACTGTCAAGACCTCCAGATGGCAAAAGCAAAAAAGTTCACTGACTTTGAACGTGGCAGGATTGTTGAGCTGCATAAGCAAGGCCTCTCACAACGTGCCATTGCTGCTGAGGTTGGACGCAGTAAGACAGTCATTTTGCATTTTTAAATGATCCTGAGGGTTATGGAACAAAAAAGTCAAGCGGTAGACCCAAAAAAATTTCACCAGCTCTGAACCGCAGGATCCGATTGGCTGTCCGTCAAGACAAGGGACGATCCTCTACCCAAATTAAAGCCATTACTGGTGCCGACTGCAGCCCGATAACCATCAGACGGCATCTGCAAGGGAAGGGCTTCAGAAACAAAAAACGTCTTCAAAGGCCACGTCTTCTTCAACTCCACAGAATTGCCCGTTTGGACTTTGCAAGGGTGCACCAAACATGGGACATTGAAAGGTGGAAGAAAGTTGTCTTCTCTGATGAGAAAAAGTTTTGGCTTGATGATCCTGATGGCTTCCAACGTTACTGGCATGACAGGGAGATCCCACCTGAGATGTTTTCTACACGGCACAGTGGTGGGGGCGCCATCATGATTTGGGGTGCGTTTTCCTTCAATGGAACAATGGAGCTTCAGGTTGTGCAGGGGTGTCAAACAGCAGCTGGCTATGTGGAGATGTTGCAGCAGGCATCCCTCATGACTGAGGGCCCTCGTCTGTGTGGTAATGATTGGGTTTTTCAACAAGACAATGCTGCAGTTCACAATGCCCGCCTGACAAAGCAGTTCTTCCAAGAGAATAACATCACTCTTTTGGACCATCCTGCATGTTCCCCGGATCTAAACCCAATTGAGAACATTTGGGGATGGATGGCAAGGGAAGTTTACGAAAATGGACATCAGTTCCAGACAGTGGATGCCCTTCGTGAAGCCATCTTCAACACTTGGAGCAATGTTCCCACTAGCCTCCTGGAAACACTGGCATCAAGCATGCCTAAACGATTGTTTGACGTCATCAACAAGAATGGTGGAGCTACTCATTACTGAGTCCTTTTTTTGGCACTTTGATTTCTGTTTTGGGGGGTTTTGGAGGTTTTTTGAGCTATGGTCTTAAACTTTTGATCAGCTGAAAAAATCATGTTTGAGTATAAATGCAGTTTTCAATTAATTCCCCGCTCAAATGTTTTTGTCTCTTATGCTGATTTCTTCTTTTAACATTGTGAAGCTCTACTTAGAACCTTCTTAAGATCCAATAATGCTAAATGCAAATTCTTGCAATTTTTTGACTGGTCTTAAGATTTTGATCAGGAGTGTACCAGCAGTTTGGTTACAAAGAGGCCTAAGGTCCAAAAAGACAATATTTCTGAGTGGCCATCATAAAACTGT